ATGATCTTAGGATGACCATGAAATGATGTCATTTCTACATCATTTTTAAGCCATCACATGATCATTCTAACGTGATTTTAAGCCCATATCATTTATTGCTCATAAATGGCTCATTTATGTCTCATTTGCTTTGACCTGGGTTATATAAAAGCAGTTTCGTCTCTGTCTCAGTTCTACCGTCCTGTTATCCGTCCATTCCATTATCAAAGGGAAAAAGTAGAAAGGAAAAAGAAAAAGGAAAAATATATAAGAATGTACAGTGTGTGTTTTCAAAAACAGTTGTATCTGTGAAGTTGTTTCTTAAACTGAAGAAGGAAGAAGATTTCTTCCGAAACGTCTTTGTATTTGTATTTAATTTTCAATAAATTAAAACAGAAAGAGTTTATAACCCAAAACTTAATATTCGTATTAACGTTTTATCTATAGTTTGGACGCTCTTTTTTATTAACGAGGACGAGTGCTGTTGAATAAACTGATTTTCATACAACCCCAGTGGCGCAACCAGGATTTTTCAAAGCTCAGGTGAACGACCACTGAAATGAATAAAAGAATCGGGGCATAAGTGGGCGGAACATTTTCCCGTAGGGGTAAAAGTTCTTTTCCTTTGAGTCATCTTCTCCATTAGTGCACTGTTCCCGCGTTTTTGCTTAGGAAATTCTTAGATGCTTTTTCCTGTACAGTTCCCTATCAGAAACGAGCGGAATCGGAATCAATGATATTTTTTTAGTTCTGCAGAAAAGGTTGTTCACCCTACAACTGAAAATTATGACCTTTTTGAAGATTTCTGGAACAAACTTATCTTTGTGGAAAAGTTTTCAAAACAGAGTCGCTTTTTCACAAAAATTTCTCGTAAGAGAAAATTTTGATTATTCGTTTTTTCGTACTGCCAGGGACTTAGCGTTTTTCTTGTGGGTTCGCGATATAGTCGGGATACCGAAGCTTTCTCCCGCATATCTGTTCCTAACGTAAAGTTAAGAAAAGAAAAAAAAGTAATAGACACTACCTATCGTTAGACGAAAGCAGATCTTATTGTTATATAAACCAACATGATGGACGGAAGAGAAACATACGCATAATAGAATACAAGTATAAACGTCTGACAAGAAAATTTGTTTTTATTCTCACATATTCTTCTAGTAGCTTCAATACGAATTAGCGTTGAGTTTTTCCCTTTCTTTATATCTTTTTAATACAGTAGCATTCGTAATAATTTTTATTTAATCATTATGTAATTAAAATATTCGACGTTTCGGTTACTCATGCAACAGAAAGGATTTCTTCTGTTCAATTTTGCACAATTGCTGTTCAGAAGGGATTTCCTTTCTGTTTAATTCTCCTCAAACAGTATATATACTACGTATTTCTTCTCCTTCGTGTTATCAGCTTCTTGTACAGTATTTATGTTTGTATATTCTTGAAAATGGTTGCACGAGTAACCGAAATGTCGAATATTTTAATTAAAAAAAATTATTAAAAATAAATGAATTATAATAATAATAAATGAAAAATTATTAAAATTATTATGAGTACTGCTGCATTAAAAAGATGTATTCTCTCAAGATTATTGGCTCTAAACAGAAGTAATGACGCTTTCTTTAGTAAAGCCATTGATGACAGAGAAGAAGAATACGAATTAAATGAATATGCAGCATTCAAACAAGTTGATTTGAAAATACAGTCAAATATCAGGAAAACCACTGGGACAAAATACATGAAAAATCTGAATACTATCGAGACAATAAATACTGCTACACTCGTTTTAAAAGTACACAAAATAACTAACTGGTTTTTATTAATAAATAAAAGTTTTACCAACATAGAGTCACTTGGGGTAATTATGGTCAGATCCTCAAAATTTCTGTTGAGGACAGGTGTCGTATTTCTGCTATAGTTCGCTCAAATTTTATCCAGGAAAAGCGATATTTTACAGGTAAATAGCTGTGACTCCTGGCTATCGACTGATGTAAAAATTTTCTTAAAATTCATTAGCGTTAATTAGTACTAATGAATTTCCAAAGAGCATCTATCGATTGACCATAATTACCCCATTTGGGGTAATATAATTATATTTTTGTTTTATTGGTTTAAAAAATATAACGTCGAGAGGTTGAAAAATGGGAATTGAATGCGGTGGAATACATAACAAAACAATACCATTGCTAATTGCTAATTCAGTTGTACGTACACTACGATGAGAGGTATGTCCATCCAGTATTAACAAAATTGGTTTTGGTGTTGTTGAGGTTAGCGGAAGAAACATGTTCTTAAACCATTCATAAAACACATTCTCTTCCATCCACCCATTGGCACTCGTATTATAACCGGCGCCAGTATGGCCTGAATGAAATGGGAAAATAGAAGATGTGCCATAATTTCATGAATCAACAAACTTACCGTTAAGACACCAATTCCCATATAATTTTTTTGCTTTGTAAATTGTATATGGTAGTAATATGACACCGCTTGCGCTAACGCAGAATAATATGATTTACCACCGGTACCACCCTGCTTCCTATATGGAAATTTCGTTGGACTGGCGGCGATAACTTTCCTTCTCTCCGTTTCATCGGAAAAAACAGATTCATCGCAATTAAATATTTGAGATGGTTTATCTAATAAATCATTATCAATAAGAACCTTTTCTAGTAAATTAAACCATTTATCAACAATTGTTTGTGTAATCCTCACCATTCCATCGTGGGTTGTCCATTTTTAAATGTTTTATATTTTCCAAGTTCCTCTGCATAATATGTAGCAATTTTAACTAATTCTTTCGGTGTTATGGGTTCGTTCCATCCCTATTCAAAAGAAGAAGTTTGTAATTCAGCTATTTAGCAAAAAATATTAACTTACTTGTAAAACAGTTACAGCATTGACTAAATAATCCTCTTCAATGTCGGTAAAATGTGTTGAACGTCCGGCACCAAGATGGGCGGCTTGTGATGCGTTATGAAGTTGTAAAGTCGATAAAGGTGTATTGTATTTTCTGCCGACAGCACGGATATCAATACCATTGGAAATTTCTCTAAGAGCAGCTTCAAAATCATCGGTGGAATAACGAGGCCCTTGGCCTTTTTTTGTGTATGTTCGTGGCATTAATAATAATGTGGAGTAGTCGAAGATTACAGTAAGGTGCCAATAACTGTTTTTTACATTGTACTTATAGTGATCAAGCATTTTTCTTAGATCAAGCGGCATCGTATTCCTATACCATATTAATCATTTACGAGAGGCAAAATAATTCTGTTTAGAAATTCGTTAATTGCATTGAAAACAGTTGACAAAAATCAAGTAATTGTCATATACACATGTACAGTGTAATACAATTCATTAATTCTGAATTTGAGCCACAAGAACAGGCACTAGAGAATGAAGGAGTTGAGCTTAACATCAAAGGTATAACTTATAAAACAAAGGTTAAGTTTGAAAGTAGTATGAAGGATATGAAAATTAGGTTGACGGAGAGTGGTCTTGGCGGAGCGCACTGTCTAATCTGCTATACGACGCAAGAAGAGTGGCACGATACAGTAAAGCTCACAAACCAAGACTATTTTAAAATAACACGTTCTGCCGATGACACAATTAAACTTTGGAATGAACTTACAGATGACGATGG